AGCAGGCTCCAGGCTCTGAGCTGTCAGCCCAGAGCCCAACGCGGGGCTTGAACTCACAGACCGAGAGATCATGGCCTGAGCCGAAGTCAGACGCTTCACCGACTGAGCCACCCAGGCGCCCCTCATCATCTTTTTAATTTCTCTTATCTATTTACTAATTGGTAGTATTCTTATTGTCAGTAGGCATTTGACTTCTTTATCTCACTGTCTCTGGCAGATACGAAGAAGTTCTTCTCCCTGCTAAGCATCACCTCCTACAGTTCCGTGGCCTTCCACAAGTTTTCCGTGGCCATTTACAACAGTAAGTGCCCCCGGCTCTGCTGGGCGGAGGTGATGGTGAGCGACCGGCCGGCAGGGCCAGGTTCTGTCTCAGGATTGACGTGTGGATCGTGTCTCTTCACAGTTTCTAACCTGAAGGCTGTGGACCCCGCCAGGTTCCCCACCCGGTACTGTTACTGTCTGAACAACCGGACCAATGACTTATCAGGTGGGTGGAACCACTCCCCCCACCCCACCCCCCAGGCTTGCAGCTTTCCTGATGTCGCTTGTGCCCTTTCAGATGAGTTTGAATTAACTTCCTTTCTCCCTGGAGTGAAATAAGACAGTAATATCTATTATGCTTAAACGTGTGCACACTTCACTGTCACAGAAAGTGCTTTCCTTGGTTTTTATCTTAGAGAAATAGGTATGACTGAACAAACGGGCAAGAACAAAATGTTCATGCTGCGTTGTTTTAAGAGAAAAAATGGAGAACAACATACCTACGTATCATTAGAAAAATGGTTAGTTGCGTGTATAATTAAACTTTGGGAAACAGCCATAGGCATTGCATAAATGAATGGGTGTGGCCAGATTTGGCCCATGTATGGAAACATTTCCATGATATTTTTTTTCTTTTTTTTTTTTTAAGTTTTCTTCCTTTCTTTATTTTGAGAGACAGAGAGAGAGTGTGTAGGGCAGGGGCAGAGAGAGAGGGACAGAGAGAATCCCAAGCAGGCTCTGCACTGTCAGCACAGAGCCTGATGCAGGGCTCGAACCCACGAACTGTGAGGTCTTGACCTGAGCCCAAATCGAGAGTCGGGCAGTTAACCGACTGAGCCACCCAGGCGCGCCTCTGTGACATTTTTAGTTAGAAAAAGAGAGTTACAAAATAATGCATAGAATACACTGTCATTGGTGAAGAGACACATACCTGGATGCCAGGCAAGTGGTTACCCCATGAAAGAAGATTGTGTTGCGTGTTTTGCAGCAGAAGAGGGTTGATTAAGGGGGCTTGGATTCATCTGGTCTTTTTTTTTTTTTTTTTTCAATGCGAGTATATTCACGTATTACTTTTATAATTGAAATGTAAAACTATTCGGTGTTCCTTCTGTTTAGAGAATCCTGCAAGGTGAAACTGAGAATTACTCTCTCAATGCTCATTCGCCCATCTAGTGATTCTTTACTGGGCGCATGTTGTTAGCCAGACCCTCTTCTGGGTGTGAGGGCCCCCACTGAGCAAAGCAGGCGCACACCCCCTGCTCTCATGAACTTGGGCTCTATAGGAAGGGACAGAGAGTCAATGGATACACCAAAAACACCTGGTATGTTGGCCGATGGCATGACCGTGAGAACAATAAAGCAGGGGACAGGGTGAGGAGGGAAGTGGTAATGGGCTCAGCTGCGGTGTGTAGCGTGGTCAGAAAAGTCCTTGCTAAGGAGGCAGGAAGTGGAGGGACAACCCTGTGGTATCCGGGGACTGAGAGTTCCAGGCAAAAGCCCAGACAGCGGGGCGAGGACTGGAGAGGCCAGCATGGCTGGAGCAGGCAAGCCAGCGCCGACAGTCATGGGAAATGAGCTCAAGGTTGCGGGGGCAAAGCAGGGAGGGTATTGGGGATCGAGTAGAAGTTTATAGTCCACTGCGAGGATTTGGATTCTCACCCTGAATAAGAAGGAAGCCAATGTGGGGGCGCCTGGGTGGCTCAGTTGGGCAGGCGGCTGACTCTTGATTCGGCTCAGGTCACGATCCCACAGTTCGTGAGGTCGAGCCCCACATCCGGCTCTTCGCCGACAGTGTGGAGCCTGCTTGGGATTCTCTCTCTCCCTCTCTCTCTCTCTGCCTTCCTCCTCCCCCAAATAAATAAATAAACTTAAAAAAAAAAGAAGGAAGCCAATGTGATTGTCCACACAGAAGAGTGATATGATCTAACTTACGTTTTTAAAAGGATCTCTTTGGTTGTTGATTAAAAAAAGAGACCGTAGGGGAGTGCCTGGGTGGCTCAGTCAGTTAAACGTCTGACTTCAGCTCAGGTCACGATCTGTGGTCCGTGAGCTCGAGTCCCGCATCAGGCTCTGCTCTGACAGCTCGGAGCCTGGAGCCAGTGCCCCCGCCAGGAAAGAGTTTCTACTTCTACCTGGCGAGCCAAAGCATATTTCCCTATACCTGAAATGATGATTTGAAAAGAATTGATCCCTGGAACCTCACCACTGATAAAATAGCATATGGCTCCTCCTGTAAGCCACAGAGATTTTTACAAGGTTTACGACCGACACATTACGATGTGCTGATGCCCACTCCCCCCAGACCGGTGCCACGAGAGGCTGGGCACAGGCTGGCATCTTGTCACTGCTCAGGATCTGTAGGGAAGATGGATTTGTGGATAATCTTCAGACCCGGATTGTTTTCTCTTGAATATCCTCAACTCTGACTTAAGGCCCTCCTGTAAGGATGTATTTGCTGCATATTTGTTTTATTTCTCTAAATGAAAACAGCTTAAATTTTCTTGATTTGGAAAACAATCTATTGGGGCACCTGGGTGGCTCCATCGGTTGAGGGTCCAACTCTTGATTTTGGCTCAGGTCATGATCCCAGGGTCGTGGGATCGAGCCCCCTGTCAGGTCCCATGCTGAGCATGGAGTCTGCTTAAGCCTCTCTCTCTCTCTCTCTCTCTCTCTCTCTCCCTCTCTCTCTCTCTCTTCCCCTCTGCCTCTCTCTCCCACTCATGCTGTCTCTTAAATGAAAAAAAATTTTTGAAGAAAATAATGTATTATGAAGTCAAAATGTCAGATGGCAGGGACAGTATAATCAAAAAAATCAGAGGGGTGCCTGGGTGGCTCAGTTGGTTAAGCAGCTCACTCTTGATTTCGGCTCAGGTCATGATCTCACGGTTCACGGGTTCAAGCCCTGCGCTGGGCTTTGTGCTGACAGCTCAGAGCCTGGAGCCTGCTTTGCATTCTGTGTCTCTCTCTCTCTGCCCCTTCCCTACTTGTGCTCTTTCTCTCTCTTTCTCTCAAAAATAAATGAAAACATTCAATTTTTTTTAATCAGAAACACCTGATGTCCCAACATCCATAGGTAATCCCATTACCCAAGGTGGTCTAAACCACCTCTCTAACCTGCCTGCCTAAGCCATCTGTCGGCTAGTTATCTAGCCTACCTGCCTGCCATCCCACCTACCCCATCCATCTACCCATCCAACTTTGCATTCTGTATATTATTTAGAATATAAGCCAGGCTAGTATGACAAATGACCCCGAAACAAGGTGGCTTACAGGGGGTAGAAGGTAATAGCTTTTGTGTGTGGCCATCTGGGTAAATACACCAGGGCTGCTCTGATGGTATGATGGTGTAGGGGGCCCAGGGTCCTTCTAGCTTGTTGCCCTGCCTCCCATGATGCATTGCCCTTGTTCTCGTAGTCCAGGATGGTTTGCCACCGCATCCACATCCCAGCAACAAGGGAGAGGAAGAAAGGAACTGAAGACATGCCCGCCCACTATAGAAACTCACAGTCTGGAAACCTTCCACATGCTTCTTCCCACATTCAGTTGCCCAGAATTTAGCCCTATGGCCACACCCCCCAGGCAAACAGGCTCAAAAATGTCGTTTTTAAGCTACGTTAAACCCGGTTGTGCCCAACTGAAATTTCATATTCTCTTGCTAAAGGAAGGTGGGAGAATGGATATTGAGAGAAAAACTTCCATATCTACCATGTTTTCTATGTAGCATTATAATCCGCCTTTAAGCCAATCAGTATGTCTTAAAAACCGTCCTATTCCAATGAATATAAATACGCCTCATCCTTCGTATGAATTCATAGCACTGGTTGCAAGAATGTACCATAAGGGACTTAATTTGTCTCTTCTTGATAGAAACTTAGTTTATCCCCCCATGTTTGTACGATTATCAACAACGCTGTACCTGTGTACGATCGCTTGAGTGCGTGCCCAATTATGCTGGAGGATATCGTCCTTGACAGGGAAACAATTTTGCAGTGATTCAAACTGCTAAAATGTTCTCTAGACACCTTGCATGAGTTTAGGCCCCTACCAGTCACGTTTGAAAGCGCATGTTTTTCCCCCACCCTTACCGACATGAAGTATTAAGTCACATTCTTAAATCATTACCAATGGGATAGGCAAAAGGTTGTTTCCCCTATTTTCTGTATATATGTGAAAGTGGTCAGAAATCACTCATCTGGAGGCATGGCTACTAAGTTAGATGATTCAGATTTTCATCAAAACAAAGAATATTGGTGAGGTAATGATAGCTGGTTTTCTTCCAAGCCTAATAAGGGGATTGCAAACAGCCATTCTGAAGGGAGAGTTCGCGCAGTGTGTTGAGTAAGGGATTGCTCGAGCAGCGGTGGGAAAAGTGGGAAGAGTGGGCGCTTTGGCCCAACGTAGACCTCAGTTCAAATTCAAGCTCCACCACATCCTCTGGCGCCTTGGGAAAGTTCCATGATCTCTCCGAAACTTGGGCAGCGCCTGGATTCCATCCTTGATGTCCTGCCTCTAGACCCCCGGTCTTAGCTTCTATGCAATGGTAGTAGCAGATTGCCGTTTACTGCTCTGCCTCTGAGTCTCTCTCTCCCACGAATCTCAGCTTCAGGCGGGCAGAGATGGGGCCTCACACAATGCTTCAGTCCCGAGCAGGTGTCTGACACCCTGCAAACAGTCAATAAATATTCATGGTATAATTGAATTAATAAAAAAAGACATTTAAGAAGTAGGAAGGAAATGGATGGAAGGAGTCATGAAATGCCACCCTTCCTCACTTTCCATAACGTGACCAAGGACAGGCTGGTCTGAAGAGACACAGGAAGGAGGTGTTCTTCTGCGTGGCCACATCTGCATCTGTGTACGACCGCCTGTCCCCTCTGGGAGACTGAGCGTGTGACTGTGCAGGTGTGGTAAGATCACACGATGGTTCTGGTTCCCTTAGAGGAATGTCCGCCTCCTCTTGGCCTCGTGGGCCGTACATTCCATTGGTTGTCACGTGACATTTTCCCGCCGCTCCGGGTTCCGCATTTTCAGTCCTCTGTGTTCTATATTTTCAAGTCACCTTGCCCCCCCCCACTGAAGCTCATAATCCCGTTGAGTAAAAGAAGTGTTTTCCAAAGCATGACAGGAAATTATCCAGATGACACCAGAAGCTTCCCCCTTACTGTTTGGGGCTCCTAAAATTCATGCCCGTTTTGGAAGCCACACGTGCACTGGATCCTGGAAAACCACAAGCGAACAGTAGAGGAAGTCGCAGCGCTTTGCCTGCACATGTATCGGGAGCTTTCATTGGTCAATGGCACCCACTGCGTCAAGCAATGGCCCTGTTCAAATCCTGCTCAGAGAGAAAGTTCACAAAGATTTGGAGCCTGAAATGTGACATTCTCCCAACCTCCTCCCTCAGCATTCTTCACAAGTGGGCACAGGAGCAGAAGTCCCTGGTTCTATTTTGTATAGGCTTCCCGTCTCTTTATAACCCACCATTAACGTTTACCTCACTTTTTGAAAATCCAAAATTATGTAAATTCCTGTTGCCTGACTGTGGGGTCGCTTCCTGTCGAATAGATTTGGTATACTAAAGCAATTTGATGAGATAATAGGGGACCACAAATGAGAACAACCATTATTCAGTAATGCAGCTTTTCCACAGACGTTTGGTGTTGGCATAGAGGGATTCGGAGGGAGAGGGCAGTGGGAGGGGAAATGATGGTGGATCCACAAGTTTTCTCCTGGAATTGAAACATCTTTATAATTAGTAATATTTCTCTGCATGATCGTTAACATCCCTCAACAAACGGAGCGAAATCAAACTCGTAACATTTACTCTGAAAAGTCCAAAGACACTACACTTTTCCGCCCAAGTCTCCGGATCGGAACTGTAAACCTCCTCGATTCTTCTTGCAGATTTCACGGCCCTGCTGGTGGACGTCGTTGGAAATTCTACCAGCTACCTCACGGAGATTTTCAAGTCAACCTCAATCCTCTCAGGTGTGTTCATCTTGAAAACTCTTGAAAAATTGGAGATTCGGCGAATTGGCGTCCATCAAGGGTATATCAAAGTTGGTAGACTCCCCGCCCCAAGCCCTGGCCCAGGCCGGGCTGCCTGGAACCTCTGTGTGCATTTTATTTAGACAATCAGTGTGGCCCAGTTGCAACCACTAGTATTTGAAGACTCCATCTTTCAGTCAGAGCTATTCCTGGTATCGAAGACCTTGGAGGAAGAGTCCGAGGCTCAAAGTTAGGGGAATCCAGGCAGACTCAAGAAAACAGCCTCTACTGGATAGCTACACTCCCATTTCAAAGATGAGAAAACGGGGATTTAGAGAGGTTGCCTGTTTTGCTCAAGGTTGGTTCAGAGTGTAGAATTCGATCTATATGCAGCCTAAGCCCATGTCCGGCATACAGCTGAGAAGGATCTGCCTCTTTCACAAGATGGCCTCATGTAACCCCCAGGCAATTCACATTCCCCCAGGGACCCACTGTGCAAAGCACATTTCTAGTCAATTGCCCGCACATGGACTCATCAGAAGGCTGGTGTGCTGCACCATGCAGCAATTACTGTGCTAGAAACAGTGGGGAGCCAGAAAGAGAAATCATAATAGATATCATTAGCCACTAAGGACTCTTCCAGGGCTTTCCACGTTTTCCCTCATTGGATCCTAACTACAACCTTGTGGAATAACTACATGTTTATCCCCACTTTACGGGTAAGGAAACTATTGCGTATGAGGTCAAGTGTCTTGCCCAAGATTATTCTACAGAAATGGAATTCTAACCCAGGCAATCTGGCTCTCTAAAGCCCATGCTCTTGCTTCCTATGCTAATGTATATAATAATGAGACCCCCATTACCAGTGATAATTATTATTATTATGACGATTTACCGAGCTTCTCCATCTGCCAGGCACCATACTTCGTACCCAAACTCACACAAAACCTTCCATCCCATGGAGATTGGGGGATTTGGAAAGCCCACAGAAGCGAGTGTGGAATTCAAATATTCACCATTTTAAAGATGGGTAAACTGAGTCCTAGAGAGGTCAAGCAGTTCGCTCATGGCCATAAAGCTGGTAAATGGCAGCGTTGATGTTGTAACACTGGTAGTTGACCCCAGAGGCTGTGTCCTTAGCCATTATATTATAATGCACGCCCCCCCCCCAAAAAAAAACCCCAGAAAATCAGGGCTGCCTTAAAAGGATGGAGTTATCCTTATTTTCCTATAACATCCTGAGCTAGGGATTTCCAGCTTAATTTTCATTTCAGCCAAAGACTTAAAGCTTCGGAACCATTGCTAAGCCTTGTGTACTTGTTTGTCTTCCAGTGAGTCAGACAAATGAATCCGACTGCACCTTCATCTGTATGATGACAGGAAAGTCAGGTGAACCAGCAGCCATTCTTTGACAAGCTCTCTGAGCTGAGACACAAGCCGAAGCCTCCAGCAGGTGAACCCAAGATTTGATCCTGTGGGTGTGGTTTTTGTAGGACGGAACCTTTCTGACTTCTGGGAGGTGGCAGAGAAATCTCCTGTTATCAACTACACATTTACCAGCAGCATGCCTGGTGGTCCAGGTGAGTGTGAACCCCCCAGACTCCTACTGTCGTCTCCAGACCAGGGGCGCAGCCAGCAGACTGAAGACTGAATTCTGCCCTCACGGGTTAGCTATACTGTGCTAAAATCAAAGGTTTTGGCCATTAAAGAAAAGTAATCTCTGGATTCTCTTACAAAAGAAGATCTGGTGACCAAGAAACAACGGGAGTTGAGTAGCCGCTGTCCCCATCCCTCTTATTAGAAGGGACACCTTTCTCCATTTTTCCAGAGCCCTCGCTGCTCCGTTACCTTGCTTTTTTTTTTTTTTTTTCATATTAACTACCTGGCTTTTGCAGGTAATTGAATTTGTGACCTTGTTTAGACATTGTCACCCTATAACACTCAGCCGCTACCCAACTGTCCTCTACGCCTCTGAAAGCACCTAGCCATCTGCTGGCCTTTTCCCTGGCACCAGGTGGCCTTTCTAGAACCACCTTTAAGCCTTCTTTGTCCCTACACTTAACTGTCACTTCTAGCTGAATGACGTTTCTTGAATCTGGCTGGTCCTCCAAGATTATCAGCTGCTGCCGTGATTATCTCAGTTCCAGTCCTTGCCATCTACCTTTGAATTAGAATAGCCTCTGAGCCAGTTTTCCTGGACCCAGCCTCTTATTTCTTTAAAATATCCATTCATTGGGGTGCCTGGGTGGCTCAGCTGGTTGAGTGTCCGACTTCAGCTCAGGTCATGATCTTGTGGTCTGTGAGTTCAAGCCCTGCGTCGACTCTGTGCTGACAGCTCAGAGCCTAGAGCCTGCTTCGGATTCTGTGTCTTCCTCTCTCTCTGCCCCTCCCCTGCTCATGCTCTGTCTCTCTCTGTCTCTGAAATAAATAAACATAAAAAAAAATTAAAATACCCATTTACTGCCATAAGAGTGATAGTCTTGAAATACGATTAGGTTTTGTCTCTTCACTGCTCAGAACTAAGTCAAGATCAGAGGGTCCAAAGTGCTTAGCTTGGAGTATACGTTTTTCTGGAATTATATTCAGCCTCATCTGCTCTCTTCCTTTGAATCTTCTGTTCAAATGACATTGAAATTCCTGCCTCTTCTTGCAGATGGCATCTACCTCCCGTGCCTCTGCTGCCTTGCTCAGCCTGGAACTCTTTCCCCACTTTTCCATATTTCAGCACCCAACTTATCTGTCAATCCCCAGCTCAGCTGCTGCGTCCCCCTTCCTAAAAATCTCCCAATCAAAATTTGTCTTCTATCTCTATGACTCTGCACCATGGCGCTTGTACGTCATTTGGACTCTGTGTTACTCCAGGTTGGATCACAGGTGACTTTCCATGTGTGTCTGCTCCCTGAGTGGTCATTGATGGCAGACACCGAATCTTTTTCAACCCCACAATCTTCCTCCCCTCTCCCTTCCCCCTGGCACGTATCATGCACATAGTAGGTTCTTCATCAGGGTTTCTCGGCATGAAATGAAATTTACAGTAAATCTCCAGTTCCACTGGAGTTGGCTGCCGTGATTTACATCTTGTAGCTGCATTTATTTATCTTAGTTATGCTGAGGAAGCAAGCTCATCTCTTGTGGAGCGAGGCTGCTTGATAAGGGGATAAAATGGGCATTTGGTGGGTTCCCTTCTCCTACTTGACTCTGAGGACAGATCTGAGGATTGAGTGAATGTCACTTCTTTAGAGTCCTTCCACGACCTTCCCACCCCAGTCTCAACTGTGTGTCTTCTTTGTGCTCCTTTATAAAGTACAAATGCTTGGGAAGAGAGAACATATATACAAGTGGACTCACATTTACAAGGTTGATGTGCCCAATAGCCAGTCAGTCACCTGGCTGAGTGATGGTTTGATTGGGAGTCCATGAGTCCATGAGTCCAATTCATCTGGAAACAAGGACCGGGCCTCTGGTGCATGTGGGTATTACCGAGCCCAGAAGTAAGGCAGGAGAGAAGAAATAAGGCTGCAGGGCCACATCTTAACCACTGCACAGGATGTTCCATACACAATGACCTGCTAAAGGGGCAAGCAGGGGCTGAAATCTCACCAGTGAGCAGGTTGGCCTTCGTCCACCCAGAAGGGACCCGATGGGCCAGTGGGGGCCTGTCATCCTAACGTGCCGTCCCCACCACTCAAGTCTTCCCAACTGGAGAGAGAAGGTAAAATTAACACTTGAGCCCCGTCCTCCATTTCTCCACGGAGCACCCAAGGAGGCCGGGTAGATTTCCCCCTGAATTGAGCCTTCCTGCCATCTCTGTGAGAGCCTGTCTTTCAAGAAGCTTCTGCCTGGCACCATCTGATTCTGTTCACAGTGCTTCCTCACACAGTGTTTTTGGAAGTTGATATTTTAGCTTACTTTGCCATTCAAAAAGAAACCCTCCTCTTTGGTGATATAGGGTACTGTTCCAAGTAAGGTTCGAAACTCGGCATTCAGTACATTTGTTGTCCAATGACCTTTCAGGGGCTTGACAGTTCTGTGTCCAAAGTGTCAACCATATGAAAGCTTCCCTTGACTATCAATCTCCCTTCACGTACAGCTACCAAGGGCTCGTCTGTGACTTCAATGCCCATACCCACAAGCCAGCAAACACTACCAAGGAGAAGCCCCCCGCACGGAGCCCAGAGCACCAGAGTGTCCTCTCTGAGAACTGTTCCCTGGACAGAGACAACTCCTCTTGCAAAGGGAGAGCAGACCCAGAACCCGGGAAGCCTTCCTGAGCTTCACTCCAGGACCGCGGCCACGCGGGGCAGCGCCTCCCCAACCCCAGCCTTGGGTAAGAAGCTTTCTCTCCCTTTCCCCTCCCGTCCTGTTTCTCCCTCCTAGTCCCCCTAGGCTCATGTAAATAAATAAAGTTCTTCCTTTCTCCCTTCTCCAGAGACCTCTTTCTTTTTCAGCATCCCTTAAATAAGAGAGCGACATGAGCCAGTATGGATTCCATACAGACAAGCCAAAGCGGCAAATATCATTGGCATAACGTCCTGCTAACCCTCACGTGTATGGCTTTTATTCTGAAATAGTTTAAGACTCACAAGGCGTTGCAAAAACAGTACAGAAGTCTCCCTGATCCCTCTCACCCAGCATCCCCCAATAAGCATATCGTAAGAATATCTGACATAAGTGAAGCACATTGAAGGATAAGGTATTTTTATTTTGGCAAAGCACTTAGCAATATCTCTCCTGAAATGAGCACTAAATGGGGGACTTTTATGGCAGCGTTAGGCTGATTTAAAACTGGCTGGATAATGATGCCAAGAATATGTTAACGACATGATGCCAGCATGGAAATCTGCCACAGACGGCGTGTCGGGGGTTCCTCCTTCCCCACCACCTCTGTGGACACCATCACTGGTGTCGCTGAAGATGAAAAGCCGTGCTCGTGCTATTTGGAAATAAGATACAACTGAGATAACTCTTTCGTTAAAAGCCAATAGTGCCTCAGTGAGTTCCGACAAGGGACCGGAGTCATAGGATTCATTCATTCATTCATTCTCCCACCCACTCATCAAGACGTGTATTTACTACCAGACTCCAGACTGGCTGTTGAAAACGCAGCTCTATCAATGTTTCATTTCGTACTTGAGCTCGCAAACCAGGGAGGGAGACACAGGCATGTGAACTGAGAGTTACATCTAGCCTACAAAGAGCTATTGTCCTGGAGAGCCCAGTGAAGGGGCTTCTGGGAGGAGGTGAGAACTGATGGGAGTCAGGCAAGCAGGAAAACAAGAATGAGGAAAAGCAATCAACTTCACCGACCAGAAAGTCGTTAGTACCATAGCCAGTATCTTGACAATTACCCATAATTAGAAAGTTTCCTAGAATAATATTTTTTAAAAATGATGTGATGGCTAGTGGCAAGAAAAATCATAAAATACTCAGCTACAAGCCTAGCAGGAAAAGTGCTGGGTTTTAGACAAGAAAAAACTATAAAACTTTAATGGGAGAAATACATGCATATTTAAATAAATGATGTGATATCACTTCTCGGCCTTTTGGCTAAGATCGAGTGAAATAAAGGAAGTGATATACCATGTTCTGGATGAGAAATCTAAATATTTTTTTTAAAAATTTGTAATTTTTTAAAGGTACATTTAGGGGCGCCTGGGTGGCGCAGTCGGTTGAGCGTCCGACTTCAGCCAGGTCACGATCTCGCGGTCCGTGAGTTCGAGCCCCGCGTCAGGCTCTGGGCTGATGGCTCAGAGCCTGGAGCCTGTTTCCGATTCTGTGTCTCCCTCTCTCTGCCCCTCCCCCGTTCATGCTCTGTCTCTCTCTGTCCCAAAAATAAATAAACGTTGAAAAAAAAAATTAAAAAAAAAAAAAATAAAGGTACATTTAGTTTTGGGCGGGGGAGAGGGAGAGAGGCAGAGTGTGAGCGGGGGAGAGGCAGAGAGAGAGGGAGACAGAATCCAAAGCAGGCTCCAGGCTCTGAGCTGTCAGCACAGAGCCCAACGTGGGGCTCAAACTCACGAACCGTGAGATCATGACCTGAGCCGAAGTTGGATGTTTAACCCACTGAGCCACCAGTGGGTTATTTTCAAGATGGCATTTGTTCCCAACTTAACTTATAGAGTTAAAGTTTTCCAAGGGGGTGAGTTTTTTGTTTTGTTTTTTAAGTTTATTTATTTTGAGAGAGAGAGGGAAAGAGAGAGAGAGCAGGGGAGGGGCAGAGAAAGAGGGAGAGGCAGAGACTCCCAAGCAGGCTCCATGCTGTCAGCAGGGAGCCAGATGCAAGGCTCGAACCCACGAACCGTGAGATCATGACCTGAGCCAAAACCACGTGTCGGCTGCTTAACCAACTGAGCCACCCAGGCGTCCAACGGGTTATTTTTAAAAACTTGAAAAAAAGTTATTTTAATTCCTATCATGGAAATGAGCAAGAGAGAACCCCCAGCAATTGTTTAAAAGGCCACCAAGAGAAGAGAAGAGAAGAGAAAGAAGAGAAGAGAAGAGAAGAGAAGGTCTTCCTCAAATGCCGTGATATTGCATTGTTATCAGTAGCATTATCATCATCTCCATTTTTATGATAACACCAAAAAACAACGTGAAGTCACTTGTCCCAAATTTCACAACATGGGGGGAGGAGGCAGGAACAGAATTTCCCCTCCAGGTCTCCTTACCTCAAACCCCTTAACCTTTCCTCTATCATGAGATGAGAAATGTGCTCTGAATTTTGAGGGAACCCACTGTCCCCCGAACACACACTTTAGCTGGTTGTTCGGACGTCCAAGGGATTTGCAGGTTTCTTTCTCGTTTTTTTAAAGATTTTTTTTAATGTTTATTTTTGAGACAGAGCGAGACAGAGTATGAGCAGGGGAAGGGCAGAGAGGGAGACACAGAATCTGAAGCAGGCTCCAGGCTCTGAGCTGTCAGCACAGAGCCCGACACGGGGCTCGAACCCACGAACTACAACATCATGACGTGAGGTGAAGTCAGACGCTCAACCGATTGAGCCACCCAGGTGCCCCAAGATTTTATTTTTAAGCAATCTCTACATCCAATGTGGGGCTCGAACTGACAGCCCTGAGATCGAGTCACATGCTCTACTGAGCTAGCCAGGTGCCCCTGGACGTGTCTTTCTGTTGGTAATTAGGAAAATAAAGCTTACCGTGGTCCATTTATTCCAGGTCAGGGTAGAGCGTAAGTCCCTGGGTCATCTGTATTATGCATGCACATTACATTTGGTAACATTTCAACGTTTTGGTAATTTTATATCTGAATCAAAATGGTCAAGAATTAAAAGTCTTCTGTTACTGCCCCATGTGCAGCTACCAGGAGGGCGACCCGAACTCCATGGGTGACAACCAGCAGTCAGGCGTGGACTTCCAACCTACCTGTGCCCTGGGCTCAGACCATGGGTGAGAAAGCACCCGGAGGGCCTCCCTGGGAAACATCGTCCTCCACACCCACATCTCCTGCAGAGGCCATGACCACGTGGAGCCTTTCTGGGCCACCTGTTGGGGCAGCGTCCACACAGGGCAGCTCATCCCAGGCCAGCCCAGCCTCAGGTAAGAGGGGATGTTCACTGAAGTTAGCATTGTCCGTTTTTAAAACATTTTCTAAATATTTATTTGTTTTATATTTTCTTATGTTTATTTTTGAGAGGGAGAGAGTATGAGAGGGGGAGGGACAGAGACAGAGGGAGACACAGAATCGGAAGCAGGCTCCAGGCCCCGAGCTGTCAGCACAGAGCCCGACGCGGGGCGCGAACTCGTGAACGGTGAGATCACGACCTGAGCCGAAGTCGGACGCTCCACCGACTGAGCCACCCAGGCACCCCACATTTTCTAAAGTTTTAAAATGTAATGCACACACAGAAAAGTAATAAACCATAAGTTAGCACCATAATTAATAATCGTAAGGTGAACCCTCTCTTCCTTCTCTTTACCCCAACCCTTTTCTTCCCATCTTGGATGAGTGAGCGAATGAATGAATGAATGAAAACTCCTTCTTCGCAGGAATCTCCCACATTCTCTCTCTTTTATGTGCCCACATTCCAATGTCTTCTTTTCCCTGGCTTTCACCGTCCATGAAACGTGTGACCAGTAAAAGCCAACATTGTTCACTCCACAGAATGCGACTGCCTTTTTGGTGGAGTATTATTATGTATTAATGTTATTACATTAATTACATATACAAGCTGTATATGCAATGTAACGTAGCATGTTCATTACTTATGTACACAAATATAATTGTATATACATTAATACGTAATCATTTTTACTATCAGGAAAGCCTGAGTTCTAACAAAAGCAAGAGAAAAATTGTCAAATGTGATCCCAACTCTATATTTCTACGTGTATTTGTTTTTATGGGTGTGTAATAAATATACACAGAAAATAGAACAAAGAACAAAATAAGACTGAAAAAACTTCACCACATATTAACCTTGACTATAACCGGGAAGTAGCTATGATTTTAATTTTTTTTTCACTCCACTGACATGAATTTTCTATATTTTCTACTCCTCTAACCAAATGCATAAGTTTTATTGTATTTGTTTTTGAAATCACTTCCTCTGGAACCTGCAGCCCAAGGCCCTCCATCCACGCTCACCAGAGTCCCTACGTCATAACAGTCATCGTTGGTATTTAGTGTCCATTAACTGGCCCTTCCTCCCTCTGGGCCACACTCTCCTCAAGGGCCTGAGTCTTTAATCTCCAGTTCTCAGGAAACACAGCAGGCACTCAGGAAAAGTGTGTCGAACTACCTACATTTCGTAAGAAAGGGCCAAAGTGCCAAGTCTCGACTTGAGGCTCGAAATCGCAATTGCGCAAACAGACGCGGAAACGCAATTTTGATAGCTGTAATCGGAGTAGCGCCTCACATGATTGCACAGGGAAACTAAAAGCTAACGCCTTTGGTTTGGGCTAGCTGGATGCCAGCATCCAGCACGGCCCGAGGCCATGCGCTCTGGTCTTTATTTCAGACACAGCCGGGCTGGGACCCTGATTCCACCGTTGCTGCTGTCTGTCCTTAGGCGGCTCTCTGGATCTCTCTGAGGCCTGGGTTTTTCATCTTCAAAACGGGGGAGGCGATACCTGCTTTCAGAGTGGCTGTGAGGATTGGATCGGGTGGCCCGGGTGAGGTGTTGATCTCAGCACACAGCACCCTGGCACCACCCAGTCAATGGCAGCTCCTACTAACTGGTCCCACGGCACCCACAGCGCAGCATGGCCACAGCCCCCGGAGACGCGCTTCCCCAAGGGCAGTGGCAAACGGGACACCGCCAGAGCGGAGCATGCCTCTGCTCTCGCCTGGGTCCCTTTCGTCTCTGATCGCCTGCGAGTCTGCGGTCCTTTCGTTCAACTGTAACCAGCGATCACAGACTAGTGAACTCTGTGTTGGGGTTGCGCCGAGAGCCGCTCGGTTTCTAGAACCGCACAGAAACACGCCCCGGTAGCAAGCATCAGTTGACGCCTTCCGGGTTCAGGGGCTTAGCTGATGAGTAGGAGCCCTGTAATTGAAGAGGAATCCAAAAAAGCTGTTGGCCCGCTTGGAGAAGATGGCAAGACTGCCCATGGACCCGATCTGCTCGCTAACCACTGTACTTCTTGGGTCTCAGAGAAGACGTCACCCGTCCCCAGCCCCCCATTCGCTGCTCAGGTGTGGGTCAGCCTCGCCCCTGACAAATCTCCCCCTCCCTCACCCCCTGCCAGGAGGCTGTGTTATCAGGTTGGCCGGGGGCCAGGATCTTGACCGCAAGGATCATGCCCCGAGGTGGCCCTTCAACACGACTTTATGAGCATGATCAAGAGAACTGTTGAGATGAGCCCATGCTTGAGGGTGAAGATGCGCTGAGTGTGCCCGGACGCAGAGGAGCGAAAAACACGTCCGCTTCGCCCAGGAGCAGCGGTGCTTGGACGCGGCCCGTGCCACGCCACTGCCGTCCCATCCACTTCTTCATTTCGTGCCAGGATCGGCGGCTTCCCCATGGCATCCGCTGCCCGTTTCCTCCTCTACCCTGGGAGTGCCGCCATTGCAAGTTCTGTCTCCTCCTCCGGTCTGCATCCTTACTGCCCTGCCAGGTACCTGGCTTAATAACCACCGCTGGTCGACTAGGGCAGGACCTGTGGCATAGGGCCTCTTCCCCCCATCGGGCACCCCGAGATCAAACACAGGCTCGGGGCGCCTGGGTGGGTCAGTCAGTTAAGCGTCCAGCTCTTCATCTCGGCTCAGGTCATGATCTCACGCTTCATGGGTTCGAGCCCAGCATGGGGCTCTGCACTGACAACACGGAGCCCGCTTGGGATTCTGTCTCTCTCCCTCTCTTTCTGCCTGCCCCCTTCTCTCTCTCTCTGTCTCTCTCAAAATAAATAAACTTTTGGGGCGCCTGGGTGGCGCAGTCGGTTAAGCGTCCGACTTTAGCCAGGTCACGATCTCGCGGTCCGGGAGTTCGAGCCCCGCGTCGGGCTCTGGGCGGATGGCTCGGAGCCTGGAGCCTGTTTCCCATTCTGTGTCTCCCTCTCTCTCTGCCCCTCCCCCGTTCATGCTCTGTCTCTCTCTGTCCCAAAAATAAATAAACGTTGAAAAATAAATAAATAAATAAACAAATAAACTTTTGAAAAATTCCAAAAACAAAAACCACGAGCTTACCCCTCTCTCATTTCCTCCCAGGAACCTTCACCCCTGGCACACAGACCCCGAATCCAACCAAGGCACCAGCCCCTAGATACCCACAAACAGGTAAGACCGTGCATCCGGGAAGAGAGACCCAACACCGTGTGGCTTTGGGGCAGGGGCTCAAGAGGACAGGATCGCCTGCAGGCTGACTGACCTGGTCACTGTACTTTACTGGTTCTCCCGGGAAAAGGGCAGAACTGCTTTATGAGTCTTGCTGTGTCACGAAATGGTCCTGTGGTTTGCGTAAAGCACTCCCTCTTTCTAGGCCACAGTTTCCCTAGAGAACTTTCAAGAACTTTTCATCCTGAAGGTGCTATGATTCTTCGGTTGTGTGTATAACCCAAGGCCAGTTCACGCTGACTTTTGCGAGGCCATTCTCGCCCCCTGCAGGTGACGCCCCGTTGGCCTGGCCATTTGCTCCTGGAGAGGAACCAGCCCTGGCCCCGGGACCCCACCAGGTTTCTAGTACGTACCAGCAGCCCGCCGCTCTGTGGCTTTTGTTTGTTTGCAACGAGGTTGTGTCGTGCCGCAAAAAGAGGTCTGTTTGATAAATGTAGGTTCAGGCCGCTGGGATTCAATCCTAGCTCTGCCATTTACTGCAGAGGGGGTCTCCCGCGCTCAGCTTCAGGAATTCAGCTCCCTCGACTGTGAAGTAGGAATAATAACAATCATTGCAGGCACTAAAACTGTCTTTATCCCTCCCGGGTTTTGGATTGAGTAAGATAATGTGTGGGGAAGAGATTTGGAGCGACAGAGTTCCGCATAACTTCATCCAATCAACTTGTATCGAGTGAACGCCTATTGAGCTAGGGGCTGTGCGCTTAGCCAAACAGAGGCTGTTCCTTTACTGAGCCTGATGTCCACGGGGGCAGCAGAAGGGGTAAGGGGTAAAGGATGACTCCCAAACTCAACCTCCATTCCCCAGGTGCAATTTACTTGTGTTCCATTTTATTTTGTTATTTTTTATGTTTATTTTTTTTTTAGTTTTGAGAGAGAGAGAAAGAGAGAGAGACAGACAGAACGTGAGTGGGGGAGGGGCAGAGAGAGAGGGAGACACAGAATCCGAAGCAGGTTCCAGGCTCCAAGCCGTCAGCACAGAGCCCGATGCGGGGCTCGAACCCACGAACCGTGAGATCATGACCTGAGCCGAATTCAGATGCTCAACCGACTGAGCCATCCAGGCGCCCTGCTTTTTGTTCCATTTTAAAGGACACCCTGCCTTCCCCACCTCTGACACCTCGTTTTTATGGAATTCTCAAGGAGGCTTATGTCCAGGGCTTAATGGCTGGGTTTTTGAGATCCCTCACAGAGGCCCGGGGCTTCGGTGTCTGGGGATGCATTGCATCTTTCCACTTTGGGATGCCTCACTCCCTTCCTTTCTGTTCTGTAGGACAGAAATTTTTTTTTTATTTTAAAAAAAATTTTTTTTCAACGTTTATTTATTTTGGGGACAGAGAGAGACAGAGCATGAACGGGGGAGGGGCAGAGAGAGAGGGAGACACAGAATCGGAAACAGGCTCCAGGCTCTGAGCCATCAGCCCAGAGCCTGACACGGGGCTCGAACTCACGGACCGCGAGATCGTGACCTGGCTGAAGTCAGGCACCCCTGTAGGACAGAAATTGATACATCCCTTCCTTTCTGTTCTGTAGGACAGAAATTGATACAAAGTGAGTCTATGACAGAAATTGATACAAAGTGAGTCCTTCAAAGCGGCTTTGAATCCTCAGGCCCCTCCTACTCCTGGACGCCTTTCTATACTAGTTTTCTGAATGTTCCTGGACTCTCCAGTCACATATCAGTGGAGCATTATTAAATTCCTGGGGACGACACAGCCTCTTTTTTTCATACAGCAGAGATCTGCCTCCAACCCCCGCCCAACCTGCGGTGAATGGGCCTTTCAGACACAAAGCCATGATTATACTGCCGGCCCAAATTATAGCCATTTTCCCCCAAAGGTTCTAAAGAAACACATTATCGGAGCAGATAAGGGCAGTTGTCAGCCTGAGTTTCAGAAAACAAGTTAACTGTATTTAAAACTATCTGTATGTATATCTTTTTCTGTATCTATATCTACTAATATAGCTCGGTATATCATCTATCCATCTATCTCTGTGTTTCTATCCTTCTATCCAACCATCCATCTGATAAGCAATATTAGTATAAAATAAAGGGGTTTGATGACTTCCAATAAATGATTGTTTCCATTCACACACACACACACACACACACACACACACACACAAATCATGCCGCAGAGTCTTTTGAGATTTACTCATTCATCCATTCAATGAATGTTTACTGAGCTCCTACTGTTTCCCAGGCACCGTGCTAAGCCTATTTTTACTTTTTCTTTTTGCAATAATTCCGCAAGGTAGGTAGTGTTATCTTCATGAGGCAATGTCGGTGATCACTACAGATAAAATGTGACTCTGTTTTGAGCCTAGATTTGTCTAATTCCAAAGCCTGTGCTCATCCCAACCTTCTAGGTTTTCTCTCCCAAGATGCTCCATTTGTACAAAATAATCACAGTTTGAGGGAGAGATTGAGAAGTTTCTTTAGAGAAAAAGCGGTAAATGCTGTGTGCATGCAGAGAAGGAGAGATTAGCTCCATTTGGAGGAATTGTTGAAGAAGTTTTCACTGATTAAGAAAGAGGCATCTGGGGCGCCTGGGTGGTCCAGTCGGTTAAGCATCTGGAGTCTTGATCTCGGCTCAGGTCATGGTCTCACGGTTCGTGAGTTCAAGCACCATGTGGGGCTACATATGTTAAGTATGGAGCCTGCTTGGGATTCTCTCTCTGTCTCTCTCTCTCTCTGTCTCTTTCTCTCTCTCTCTCAGAATAACTAAATCTAAAAAATTCAAAAAAGAAAGAGGCATCTGCACAGGGCTGCCTCTAAATATGCATTCTACGCAGAGGCACAGCTTATGCAAAGGCACTGGGGCAGGAAAGGACGATGTTTCCCAGGGGCTGAGAGATTCCCTGTGGCTGGAGTTCTGATGCTACAAGAAAGAATGATGAGGAGTGAGGGTGCGGAGGCTGGCAAGGGGGAGGTCCCCAGGGCCATGGAAGGAGCGTGGACCTCTCCTCGGACAAGTGGAAGGGACGTGGTCGGATTTGTGGTGCAGAGAGTTTTCTCTGGCTGCAGAGTGGAGACTAAAGAGGAGAGGGGAGGAGCAGGGATACTCGTGAGGAGACTTGTACTGACCGCAGCCACAGATGATGGGGGCTGGAGCTGGGAGCTGGTTGTGTGCATAAGGAGACTCGAGCGGTGCTCAGGAGACAGAATCAAGAGGCTGTAATTATGGTAGAGTGATCACCAGGAGGTCACCGAACGTTATTCCCAAGTTTGAACGACTGAGCGGCGAAGTGCCATTTCCTGAGATGAAGAAGCCTGGGAGACGCTGGGAAGGGGAGAGGGGATGTGGATGTTGAGCCTCAGGAATGTTAAGGATGTTCAGACCCTAAAGTGTGGCGGTTACAAGCATAGGTTCCAGACTCAGGTCTTGCCGAGGTCACTATCTGCTGTAGAACTGATCAAACTGCAGAATCACTCAGACCCTCAGTGTCCTCTCCTATAAAATAGTACTTCTGATATCCACACTACATGCTTTCATGAGGATTAAATGAAATAATGTAGGTACAGAACTTAGGAAAGTACCTGATATATAGCACGTGCTCAGTAAGTTAAAGCAAAAAGTCATAGCATCTTTACAAAAATTGACAAATGCCCTGGAGGGTTTACTGTTCTAATTGACTCCGGATAAAATTCAAAATACATTTCCTTCCTACATTTTTAATGAAATCGTTCTCGAACATTATAAGCCCTCTCTCCACTTTAATAAATACACACCGATAGATGAATGGATAAAGAAGATGCTGTATGCATACACAATAGAATAGCACTCAGCCATAAAAAGAATGAAATCCCGCCCTTTGCAACAACGCGGATGGAGCTAGAGAGTATAATGCTAAATGAAATTAAGTCAAAGAAAGACAAATACCATATGATTTCACTCATATATGGAATTTAGGAATCAAAACAAACAAAGGGAAAAAAAAAACAGAAAGAGAGAGAGAGAGGGAGAGAGAAACCAAGAAACAGACTCTTAACTATAGAGAACAAACAGATGATTACCAGAGGGGAAGTCGGGGGGCGGGGGATGGGATACA